ATTTGTCTTTTGTAGAATTTCATTTTTTTCTTTTCTTTCTCAATTAAAAAAATTATTTATTTTTGATTTTATATGTCTATCAGTATTTGTGAACAGTATGTGATGATCAAATCAATACCATTAGGGTGTTCATCATTATAAATCATAATTATTCTTTGTGCCCCGTACCCAATTACTTCCTAAGCTCCCTCTCTTCCTCCTTTCCCACCTCTTTTCTAGAGTTTCAAGTGGTGCAGCATGTACTCTTTTTGTCTGGCATTTTTAGCTCAGTATAATGTTTCTGAGACTCATCCATGCTGTTGCAAGTGAATATCGGTGGTGATGCCTTTTTATCACTGAGTTCATGGCACGAATATACCACAATTTCCTTGTTCATTTAGCGGTTGATGGACATATAGGCTGTGTCAGTTTGGGGCTATTATGAATAAGGCTTTTATGAATATTCATTTACAAGTCTTTGTGTGAACATATATTTTAATTTTTCTTGAGGGAATACAGGAATGAAATTGCTAAGTCCATAGAGTGAGTGATATGGTAAGTAGTACTTTATGAGAAACTGTCAAACTATGTTCCAAAATGGTTGTACACTTTTCACATTTTCACCAACAATGCATGAGAGTTCCAGTTGTTCTGTATCTTTCTCAACACTTGACATTATTAGCATTTTTACAGTTTAGTCATTCTAACGGGCATTCAGTGGTATCTCATTGGGGTTTTAATTTATTTTCTGTGATGACTAGTGATGTTGAGCATTTCTCATGTGCTTCTGTGAATTTGTATATCTCCTTTTGTGTATTGTCTATTCAAGTCTTTTGCTTATTTTAAAAATTGGATTGTTTGTCTTATTATTGATTTGTAAGTCTCTTTGCCTATTCTGGGTTCAAGTTCGTTGTCACATATATGTACTATGAACATTTTCTTCCAGTCCTTGGCTTGCCAAATCGTGTCTTATTTTTTCTTCCAGAAGTTATATAGTTTTAACTTTATAATTAGGACAATGATCCATTTTGAGTTAATTTTTATGTGAAATGTGAAGTAAGGTGTTTTTTTTGTACTGTTTTTTGTTTTTGTACATGGATATTGTTTCAGCATCATTTGCTGAAAAGATTATCAGTTTCCTACTGAATTATGTTAGCACCTTTGTTGGAAATCATTTGATCACATATATGCATAGGT